CCGGCGTTCTGACTACAACCAGTGGATTTTGCGATAGAACTTGCATATTTTCTTTTTTCTGCATTAAACTCTGCTAGTAGTTTCTGATCGAGAGGGTCGGCGTTGTGTTTGCCGTGACACGTTCGCACCAAGTTCAAGCCTATGCAGAGTTTAAATGATACTTATATCCAGCTTCAAATTCGCCTAATGAAATGCACAAATTAACATGTAAAAAGAAATATTCATCCACCTGTGTGGTCGAGCTTTTTGTTCAGTTTCGATAAGTTCATCTTCTGCAGACTTTGTCATATTGGCGACCCATTTCTCAGCCTGAAAAACGAGCAAACACAAAGCGGGAAGATGAGCCAAAAGATTATCAATACAAGTAATGAACTTGGAGAAAAACAATCCAAAAATGTAAACATGGTTTCAAGAATGAGCCAAGTTTTAGCTTCAATCTAGAGCTTTGTGCTTTAAGGAAGAAAATCTTACAAATACCGTGTCTGTTCTACGAATCTGTGGAATTTATTTCTTCTTTGCCATTTCCGTTGTCATTGCAATTATAAAGTAACTCCACCACCAAACTTGCTGCAGTCCCAGAAAAGAGATATGATTACAATTACTAACTGCATTAAGAAGAATTCACGGTAAGAATAACATTTTACACAAGTTTTTTGGCAAACTCTTGTTGAATATACAAATCATATTGGCCAATCACTAGTTGTATGCAACAATTTTAACCTAACAAATTTTACTTTCTTCACAATTTTTTAAAGACAAAAACGTTCTTTTTTTCGTCTTTCACCAAACCCATCGAATGGACCCTGAACCTATCTCCCTAATGAGACAAATAGCAACAACGGAAAATTTTTCTAGCTTTAGATACACTAAAAACTTATACAAACTATGTGACGCAATTTCATCATAACACAAATTATAGATTCTCACAGACAAATCATCAAACAGTTTTCGTGCATGCCTTAAAAGTAAACAAAACTTTAAGGCTAAAAACCACGAGTAAAAGCATACACGAACAAGATTCACAGATCTTTGTGCGGATTAAACTTAAAGAAGAAAAAACAAAACCTGAGCCTCTGTAAAAAAAAACTTCTTTTTTCTTAGATTTCGACGGCAAAAAGTTTCGATCATTTGCTAAGCTATTAGCTCAGAGCAGAGCTGTCCCACAAGTTTTAAATAACCAAAATAGGGTTGTTCAGTGTTTGTCCTCCGTCTCGTCTTCCTTTGGCTTGACTTTTGTAATTAAGATGAAATTTAGTTTGGTCGTGGGGGGAAGAACATCCATACGTGCACGTGTAAGCATGTCGAGTCATATGTTAGTATGTCTTGCATATCTACATCTTAGAAATACATATAAACACAGAGATCTAGATTACGTCACAGACATATACAAGTAAAGTAAAACAGAGAAAGAAAAGAACTCACTTAGTCGAAAAAGTGGGATGTTGGGATGTAGAGACCTCACATCCGCTGAACAAGCCCCATGTTTTCTATCTCCATAAGCCATCATTGACAATCGATTGTCACAGTAACCATGGTTTTTATATAAGATTCTCAACATGGGGACAAACGCTGAACAACCCTATTTTGGTTATTTAAAACTTGTGGGGCGGTTCTGCTCTAAACTAATAGCTTAGCAAATGATCGGGATTTTTTGTCGTCGGAATCTGGGGAAAAAGAATTTTTTTTTTTGAGGTTAAAGTTTCGTTTTTTCTTCTTAAAGTTCAATCCGTACAAAAATTTGTGAGTCTTGTTCGTGTATGTTTTGTCTCGTGATTTTTTAGTCTTAAAGTTCGGTTTACTTTTAAGGCATGCACGGAAGCTGTTTGATGATTTCTCTGTGAGAATCTAATGATGTGTTGTGATGAAATTGTGTCACTTTGTTTGTAGGGGGAGGTTTTTAGTGCATCTAAACTAGGTAAATCTTTCGTTGTTGCTATTTGTCTCATTAGGGAATAGCTTCAGGGGCCATTCGATGAGTTTGGTGAAAGAGGAAAAAGAACGTTTTGGTCTTTGAAAAATTGTGAAGAAATAGAATTTGTAAAGTTAAAATTGTTGCGTACAACTAGTGATTAACCAATGTGACTTGTAGATTCAACAAGAGCTTACTGAAAAACTTGTGTAAAATGTTATTTTGACTGTGAATTCGTCTTAATGCGGTTAGTAATTGTAATCATATCTCTTTTGGGACTGCAGGAGGTTTGGGGGTGGTGTTACGTAATGATGACGACAACGGCAAAGAAGAAGGGAATTTCACAGATTCGTAGAACAGACACGGCATTAAAGCTTGTAAGATTTTCCTTCTTAAAGCGCAAAGCTCTGGATTAAAGTGCAAAGCTTGAAACCATGTTTGCATTCTTGGATTGTTTTTCTCCAAGTTTCTTGTATTGATAACCTTTTGGCTCATCTTTATGTTTGCTCGTTTTTCAGGCTGAGAAATGGGTTGCCAATATGACAAAGTCTGCGGAGGATGAACCTATCGAGGCTGAACAAGAAGCTCGACCACACAGGTGGATGAATATTTTTTTTTTACATGTTAATTTGTGCATTCCATTAGACGAATTTGAAGCTGGATGTAAATATCATTTAAACTCTTCATAGGCTTGGACTTGGTGCGAAAGTGTCACGGCAAACACAACGTGGACCCTCAGACAACCCTCTCGATCAGAAACTACAAGCAAAGTTCGATGCAGGAAAAAGAAAAGATGCAAGATCTATAGCAGAATCCACCGGTTGTAGTAAGAACGCCGGTGATGACAGTGAAGATGATGATGAATTAGAGAGCAAAAGCCAAGCTTTCGGCAAGAAAAGAAAAAATACAAATTCGCGTCATTAGAATTTCTGAGTGCTAAAACCGCATGATTTTAGTTCTATTGGAACATCATGCATGTAAAAACAATCTTTTTTGTCTTATTTAAGTTCAAAGATATGCAAAAACATATGGAAAACCAAATAAATTACTATGTTCTCAGCTTATGATAAATCACTTGATAGAATCATTATCATTTGAATCAATGTTATTTATTCTTTAAAAACAAGATTTGAGCACTTTATAATTGGTATGGAACCAAAGGTAAAACAATACTAGTTAATTTTGTTGTTTTAAACTTATAATTTGATTGGAAATACTTGGAATTTTTTCATGTAACCGTATAAGAATCTAAGCTTGAATAAAAGTCGGAAAAAAAGATGCATTGAAGATTGACTTTTGTTCTTGTGGTAAAAAGGCAGCGAATGATTAAACAGAAGAGTTATAATATTGGGCCTAAGTCTTATCGTACTCATAAAGCCTACGAAAGAAGAGAGAAAAGCATTTACTCTTGGCATCTCGTTCACTACTACATAACGCCTTGCTCTCTCCCTTTCTCGTTTCTAAGGTTCGTCTCTATCTCTCTCGTAGATCGATTTCCTTTACGATTTTTGATTCGATGATTGTCTCCGATTGTTGTTTTGTTCCTGTTTTCGTTTCGCATAGGTTAGAGAGCTGCTTTTGTTCCGTTTCTTTTTAGGTTTAGATGAGCAATTCGTTCAGTTTTGTGATTGATCTATGCTTTGATTATTGTTCTTCTTACAATCCATTGATTCACGTTGTCGATCCTGCTGATTGTTGATGTGTTCCTGTTTTCTTGCAAGAATGCTTCACGACAACAAAACAGCAAGAAGCTCTAGGACTTTGGAACATAGATAAAATTCCGCAGAATCTTTGTAACCTGCTTAATTTTTTCCCTCGCATGAATTATTCTCATTTCTCAATGTGGTTCGAGATTCTTATTACCCGGACAGTAATTATTCACAAGTCGTTGTTTTGTTTTGTTTTGTTTTACATTAAACGACGTCGTTTACCCGCTTAATATAGTTGCCAACAAAAAACGACGCCATTTTTCTTGGATATTCTAAACGACTTCTTCATTCGCTCTAAACGGCGACGTTTTGTTTCGTCTCCCTTCCCCAAATCGAAAATCCCCTAAACGGCATCGTTTTGTTTCGTCTCCCTTCCCAAATCGAAATTTCCTAAATCGTTTCTCTGTGGTTTCTGGGTTTCGCTCTGTGTGTAGTGTGGATGAATCGTCTGTGATACTCAGGGAGAAACAGATTAGTGGGTTTAGCAGAAACTCGAAACGGATCAGGAATTTGGTTGATTCGTGCTCTGATCTCGTAAATGGCAGCTGCGGTAGATTCAAAGCTGACTCCGGCGAATTCGTTCGGTGCTGTCGTTCTCGGAGGTACGTTTGATCGATTG